ATGTGGGGGGGCTCTGTGTGGAGGGGATGGGGGGGGGGTCGAGGATCTCATTATTAGACCTTGAGGGCTATACTGTATATGAGGCCCTAAAGGAACTGCTCCATTATTAGTATCAAATGCACACATTGATGCCACCAAATGACACAATACAAATAGAAAGTACTACAAATAAATTGGAATTAATTTATATCTTAAATTATTAATGTACACACAAAAATGTATACACATATCCAACCTTCAAATTGCTATTTTAAATCAAAATTGCTCTGCACACTTGCTAAAGAATATTTGTGTGGAAATCTCAGTTCATTTGTAGGGCTGCGAGATTATGGCCAAAAGTATGCTGTACATTTCACTGTAAACGATTGAATCATCACCAAATTTGGTGTTATTATGACCGATCATCACTCAGCTTTATGCACACACACACACACATACACACATTTAGAATGGTTTAGGAAACAGGCTCCGTGTTACCTCTAGATTCCACCGGGTCCGTCTGCGCCGCGTTGCGGTTTTGGTCCGGCCTCCTCCGGCGTCATACCCTACCAGGCGCGTTTCAGAAGCATTTCAGAAGCGGAGCGTCTTGCCTGCCGGCTCGCAGTTTTTGTTGATTTGGGCATATTTCCTGGACAGGCTACTTTGTACAGACAAAGTTAATAATAACTGTAATATTCCAGTTATAAACTACATGAATCAAAGATGTGTTGCTGTATTTTAGTGGTAAAAAAATGCATTCATCATCATAATTATTAATTTACACAGTGCCTGTAAACCGGAGGAGAACGCTGTCATTTCTCCTCCTACTTGAAAGACTATTGAGGGATAGGGTCTGCAAAATTAGTTTGTGTGTGTGTATATATATAGCTCTGAACGTTCCACTTCCTGCCTGCCCGACCTTACGTTACGGCTGCGCCGCGACAAAAATAGGATTCGATCCTAATTTTAGAGGAGCCCTGCGCCGAGCCGCTTCTGGGACGCTTCTGAGCCGTAACGCGCCGCGTGTGGTGGAATAGCACCCATTGACTAGAGTGGCCGCGATCGCCGTGAGCACCGCGGCGCAGCCGTAACGCGCCCGTAACGCGCCGCAGACGGACCCGGTGGAATCTAGGGGGGACCCACCGGGTCCGTCTGCGCCGCGTTACGGCTGCGCTGCGGTTTTGGTCCGGCCTCCTCCGGCGTCATACCCTACCAGGCGCGTTTCAGAAGCATTTCAGAAGCGGAGAGTCTTGCCTGCCGGCTCGCAGTTTTTGTTGATTTGGGCATATTTCCTGGACAGGCTACTTTGTACAGACAAAGTTAATAATAACTGTAATATTCCAGTTATAAACGACATGAATCAAAGATGTGTTGCTGTATTTTAGTGGTAAAAAAAATGCATTCATCATCATAATTATTCTATATATATAATTTACACAGTGCCTGTAAACCGGAGGAGAACGCTGGCATTTCTCCTCCTACTTGAAAGACTACGGAGGGATAGGGTCTGCAAAATTAGTTTGTGTGTATGTATATATATAGGTCTATATAGCTCTGAACATTCCACTTCCTGCCTGCCCGACCTTACGTTACGGCTGCGCCGCGACAAAAATAGGATTCGATCCTAATTTTAGAAAAGCCCTGCGCCGAGCCGCTTCTGGGACGCTTCTGGGACGCGTCCGAGCCGTAACGCGCCGCGTGTGGTGGAATAGCACCCATTGACTAGAGTGGCCGCGATCACCTTGAGCACCGCGGCGCAGCCGTAACGCGTCCGTAACGCGCCGCAGACGGACCCGGTGGAATCTAGGGGTAAGCCGAAAAACTATATCCGTCACAGAGATCTGCTATTTTAAAATAAAGTCAACACATATTGACCCTAAATATAGTCTATATTAAGAACAAGAAAAGTTTTAACATATCGTTTTTGGAATACAAATGTGCGAGGGTGATGAAGTCAGAGCATCGTCCTATGTGCCGGGGCATAGCCCCGGACAGACCCGGCCCAATTTAACCCCTGAATGTATGTATATGTTTCAGTGTCCACTGCTTTGCGTATTCACATTCTCCCTCCGCTGTTTCTGAAGGGCGGGGCTCCACTCCGCTCCCCCCCCCCCCCCCCCCCCCCCCCACACACACACACGAATGCACACACTCACAATCAGAGACAAGAGCGGAGGAAAGGAGGAGAACAACAAAGTGTAAAAAAGTCAAACAAATCTGCATTATTGCCCCGAGCTCTGCTGTCTGCCCGTTTGTGTCCCCCCCCCCCAGTTTCAAATTAGTTTATTATTATTTTTTAACCTCAAGCCGTTATCGTCACAGAGGAGAAGGACACACACACAGGCTGCGTTTCACTTCTCTTATTTTTCATTTCCTCGCTCCTCGGTCTCGGTCTCACCGGAAGTTGATTTGTCTGCGCCATCTTGAGTAGCGTCCCAATGGCCTTATTTTTGCCGGAGGACCGAGGAGCGAGGAGCGAGGAGCGATAATGGAGGGGCTATAATCGAGGAACCACCAGACCATCCTTCGATGAAATCCTCAGACACTCGCCCCGCCCCCTTACTGTGTATCGCTCACTGATTGGACGATGCAGCGCATGCAATGATCTGATGCTTCTTGACATGAGAGCAGTTTCCCAGCGGAGTGAAGAAAACACATGAAACTCACGGGACTCACTCCTCAGTTCATACTGTGTTTTGTTTCAATGAATGCATCATTCAGTTACAAATATGTGATATATCTGAACAACAAAGTGGACAAAAATCATTTCATTCATTTATTGGAAACATTTTCGTGATCGCTTTTTTCGTTTTACATTTTCATTTATTGTCATTTCCATTCAGTCAGTCATTAAGTGCTATTTAACATGTTAATTAGCTACATATCCACACAAACAAACTAAGTGTGCAATCCAATGAATGTTAATCTAACTGGGTTTTGATAGATAACATATCTCTTTTTCTTCTCTCAATTATTTTATTTCTATTGTGCACTCTAATCAATATTAATCAAACTAATATTCGTTTATACATTTTAAGAATGGCGTTTATCTTTTTTGAGAATTAGTTTTTATTTGATTTTATTTATTTGGGTCTACAACAGATGATACAAATGTTTGTGTCAGTAAATGTGTACCAACAGAGGCGGGGGTGTTTGTGAAAATAACGGGGACAGAGCTGGCTGCTGTCAGACGATCAGCTGTGCGGCGTCATCACAAACGGACGTCGCTTCACGTGACGCTCCGGAGGAAAGGACGTTCCATTGCTCTTAAAACTAATTTCCCTGCTTCTCGTGGTTTCCTTGCGTCTCTCCATGCTTCCCTGGTGGGAGTGACTAGTCGCAGGGAAACGACGCAAGTGAGGGACGCAAGGAATCCATTTAACCGAAGTGAAACGCAGCCACAGCCTGCCCAGGTGGACGCGCGCGAACGCGACAACGAACGTAGCGTGCGCATTCTAAAAATAGCTCACAGATGGTGAGCAGGTACCACGGTTTTGAACTTCAGTATCGAATTTGACAGAAAACAACAATGAAACGCCAGCAGAAGAATAGTCTAATGAGTTGGGTGACAACAAAGACAGGAGATGTGAGTTGGTTTATTCAGTAAATTAGCTGAGGATAATTGGATGTTCTTGCACCTGTTGATGTGAGGCTAATGCAGGATTTGCTAGCTTGATGCTACCGGCATTTAGCGGCAGTGACTCAACAAATTGTATCGTCAGCAATGTATGACAAGCAGACTTCTTGTTTAATGTTAGACTCACACCAATAGCTCAATATGATCATAACACGATTGCTTTCATATCAGAGATCAGATGAGGTGGAGCTACCTCCAGCAATAGAGGATGAGGCAGAGAGAAGCAGCAGCAGCACAGGGTTGCAGCAGGTATGTTATATGCTGTAGTCCGGTGATTTAAATGTATCAATGAAAGGAAGAAGTGTAGGCTACATGATAAGAAGGGAATACAGAAGTAATACAGTACAGTGTAACACTGTACTTTATTACTTTTTAATGTACAAATACTTTGTTACTGTACGATAACAATAATCCACAGCTCCTCTTTGCTCCAAAAAAAAAGAAAATTCAAAAAATGTTGCAGCACCCTGCCAAGGCAGTAAACCTAGGGGAAACACTGAATGCCTAAATGAAATACTACTTTCTAATGGTTTCTTTTTCTAATAAACCTTGCATTGGGTTGGTCACACAATTCATTCTCTTGTGCTTTGTTCTATCTGAATTATGATAAGGAGTTATCACAAGCTGTTTAGTTATGCTATCTTACAATAAATACTGTATATAGTAAATGTGAGGTAAAGTGTGTCGCCAATGTAACCGGTTAGAACTCGAAGTTGCGATGAGGTCTTAAAATGTATGGAAAGGGTCTTAAAAAAGGTCTTAAAAAGTATTAAATTTGACTTCAGGATTCCTGCATATACCCTGTTTAAGTACAAACCAAATATCAGCTGTGATATTTAACACTTTTTTTGCATCTTTTTTTTATCCCATTTGTTGATATAATAAATTAATAAAGGTTCACTATAGGCTCTTATGCAGCCGGACTATCTATGTCTTTAGTCACATTCAGTGTCCACAATGCACCACCTGATTGGTTTACACGTCAGGAGTAATAGCCTACCAACACCACTGATAGATATTGCTGTAGTTGCAATAAACATCTCAATGGTATACACTAGAGTGACAAAACTCCCAGTCTTTTTGCTTGTACTGTTTTGTTTATCATCATTTATAGAAATGCAGTGAAGTGAGGATACTGGAATTGTATACATTGGACATATATAACACAGACCGGCAAAAGTGTTACTGTCACTGTGTTAGTAGAGACACTCTTCTGTGGTCACACGGCCCACTACACACTCTCTCTTTCTGTCACTCTACCCCCCCTCCCTCCAGCCCCTTTGCAAATATTTATTGGTCTCCTTGATTACTGAAAACCAGGTGGTATAGTGTATCCCCAGCGTTTTTGTTATTTATGGTGTACTTTCTCTCTGATGTCATGTAGGCTCAGGCTCCTCCCCTCCTGTTGGCCATCTTCCAGTCCTGCGACCCAGCCATGACCTAAACCATTTTCCTGCTGCCACTGACCAAGCCTTACCTCCAAGTAAGAACTAACACCTCATAGTCTTACTTTGGAGTCCCATCCCTACACCTTAGTTTGATGTCAGTGTGGCTGTGTGTTTCAATCAACTGCATGCTGCCATGTCAGTTTGATTTACAAACATATTCCATCTTTTCTGTGTTTACCGTCACCATCTTATCCTCCCTCCTTGCACTCCTCTTCTATTTAAGTTTAGATGTATTGCTTTAAACTAGGGCTGGGTGATATGAAGAACAATTCCTAGCTATTTTACCAAATAGCTTGATATTGATATTGTGACAATATTGAAGGGTTGATCAATGATGCTTTCACAAAATATTAACACAATTTGTAGTCAGTAATGTGGATTTATTGACCAAGTGGGGAAAAGCAAATAATAAAAAAGCAACAAGTCAGTTAAATTAAAAAAATCCTTATATACAACCAGGAAAAGACAATATCTAACAATATGATATAGAACATCTAATGGATATCTAGTCTCATTGCACGATATCGATAGAATATCACTATATTGCCCAGCCCTACTTTGTGCTGCTCTGTTCTGCTTGGTCCATACTTGTATCTGCATTCAACTTTTCAAAAGGCTGAATTGCACGCTTATTTTCGCTGATTCAGAGCAGGAAGGTCAGCTACCGGATGGCCCAAACTCCACTTTTTTGTTGCATCATCATCCAACTCAAGTTCACTAATCAGTGTCCTGTTTCCTTAATGCAATATCTTTTCAATACACATTTTGTGGGGAACAAATTAAGTTGGAGGGACTTATTTCGGTTTCTCTATCAGAATCAGAATCAGTTTTATTACCAAGTAGGTTTACACATACAAGGAATTTGCTTTGGTATGTGTGGTGCATACAAAGACGAAGAAGAATACGTAGCAAAACACAATTAAATAAAAATAGGAGTGTTATGACAGCTATTTAAAAAGTATTATAACAAATGTGGAGAGCTGTGCTGCTCTTTAAAGAGGTAGTGTGGAGAAGAAATGTGCCTGATGTCAGGACAGTGTTCAAATCTGGATCAGTTTTTATCAGATCCGTTGCAGCCCCTTTTTTAGAGATTTGGGTATGGAGGAAAATAGAGAGGGTTTTGTTTTCTGACACTTGGTGAGTTCCCTGGAACACCGGGGACACATATTCATGTATAAAAGGCGTACAAAAGTGCATTTTGCATGATAGGTCCCCTTTAACATATATCGTTTTTTATACGCCCCTGCCAACGGAGCCCCGCGCCCCCCCTGAAATTCAAGGTGTTTTTTTGTTTTTTTTGTAAAAAATGTTTTTATTAAAAAAATATATATATATAGCCCCAAATTGCAACTGAAGTAATCTATCTACGGTCACTTTTCACATTGAACATGTGCTCTTTTATTAAATAAACTAAACGCCTATGTTATTTATCCAATGTATGCAGGGGTTAAATTGGGATTTGATATGTGGGGGGGCTCTGTGTGGAGGGGATGGGGGGGGGGGGGGGTCGAGGATCTCATTATTAGACCTTGAGGGCTATACTGTATATGAGGCCCTAAAGGAACTGCTCCATTATTAGTATCAAATGCACACATTGATGCCACCAAATGACACAATACAAATAGAAAGTACTACAAATAAATTGGAATTAATTGATATCTTAAATTATTAATGTACACACAAAAATGTATACAGATATCCAACCTTCAAATTGCTATTTTAAATCAAAATTGCTCTGCACACTTGCTAAAGAATATTTGTGTGGAAATCTCAGTTCATTTGTAGGGCTGCGAGATTATGGCCAAAAGTATGCTGTACATTTCACTGTAAACGATTGAATCATCACCAAATTTGGTGTTATTATGACCGATCATCACTCAGCTTTATGCACACACACACACACATACACACATTTAGAATGGTTTAGGAAACAGGCTCCGTGTTACCCCTAGATTCCACCGGGTCCGTCTGCGGCGCGTTGCGGTTTTGGTCCGGCCTCCTCCGGCGTCATACCCTACCAGGCGCGTTTCAGAAGCATTTCAGAAGCGGAGCGTCTTGCCTGCCGGCTCGCAGTTTTTGTTGATTTGGGCATATTTCCTGGACAGGCTACTTTGTACAGACAAAGTTAATAATAACTGTAATATTCCAGTTATAAACTACATGAATCAAAGATGTGTTGCTGTATTTTAGTGGTAAAAAAATGCATTCATCATCATAATTATTAATTTACACAGTGCCTGTAAACCGGAGGAGAACGCTGTCATTGCTCCTCCTACTTGAAAGACTATTGAGGGATAGGGTCTGCAAAATTAGTTTGTGTGTGTGTATATATAGCTCTGAACGTTCCACTTCCTGCCTGCCCGACCTTACGTTACGGCTGCGCCGCGACAAAAATAGGATTCGATCCTAATTTTAGAGGAGCCCTGCGCCGAGCCGCTTCTGGGACGCTTCTGAGCCGTAACGCGCCGCGTGTGGTGGAATAGCACCCATTGACTAGAGTGGCCGCGATCGCCGTGAGCACCGCGGCGCAGCCGTAACGCGCCCGTAACGCGCCGCAGACGGACCCGGTGGAATCTAGGGGTAAGCCGAAAAACTATATCCGGTCACAGAGATCTGCTATTTTTAAATAAAGTCAACACATATTGACCCTAAATATAGTCTATATTAAGAACAAGAAAAGTTTTAACATATCGTTTTTGGAATACAAATGTTCGAGGGTGATGAAGTCAGAGCATCGTCCTATGTGCCGGGGCTTAGCCCCGGACAGCCCAGGCCCAATTTAACCCCTGAATGTATGTATATGTTTCAGTGTCCACTGCTTTGCGTATTCACATTCTCCCTCCGCTGTTTCTGAAGGGCGGGGCTCCGCTCCGCTCCGCTCCCCCCCCCCCCCCCCCCCCACACACACACACGAATGCACACACTCACAATCAGAGACAAGAGCGGAGGAAAGGAGGAGAACAACAAAGTGTAAAAAAGTCAAACAAATCTGCATTATTGCCCCGAGCTCTGCTGTCTGCCCGTTTGTGTCCCCCCCCCCAGTTTCAAATTCGTTTATTATTATTTTTTAACCTCAAGCCGTTATCGTCACGGAGGAGAAGGACACACACACAGGCTGCGTTTCACTTCTCTTATTTTTCATTTCCTCGCTCCTCGGTCTCGGGTTGCGGTCGAATAGTCCATTTAGCTTAGGAACCTTCCTAACGGAGTGAAATGACCCGGAAGTCCCTCAGTGGCAGCCATGATAAGTGCCGTTAGAATTCTCTAAATTAAAAGGAAAGGAGGTTTCAAACTTCCTTTATAACCTCATTTAGCTTAGGAACCACTGGACCTCCCTAACCGAAAGGAGAGGAGAAAATGCTGCCCCACAATGCCTTGCGGCCGCGGCATTTGCCGTCACACAACAGTCGGCTGTTCACGGAAACAACCGATTATGAACGAGAAATGATATCATGAAAGTTACGGTGCTTATTAAGCATTTTAAAACGTATGTGGTAAGTTGCCAAAGTGCTTTGTTTTGAACGTTCATCAGTATTATAATCAAAAAGAGAAATATGAACGTTAGTTTTTACTGAAATGATCAAATAAAGTCAACATTTCACAGTCTTTACTGAGCTGTGTGGGGTTTGTTCAACTTTTAAAAGATGTTTGAATGGTGATATACACAGTGATAGATGTTAAGGACTAACGTTTATAATAAATACATTTGTATTGATTTTAAGATATTTTCATACAATCATACGTAGGCTATTGGGATCATTTGTATTAATGTGGACCGGAGGGAGAGGGTGACGAGCAGAAGTTTCACTTTCCTTTTTTATTTCAATTCCAACTTTGGTCATGAAGAATATGTTTCTCTGTTGTCCCCGTTCATAAAGCATAAAACAACAGCATCAGAGCACGGTGCAGAGTCTCTAGATGAGTTTACAGTAGTCCCTCGTTCTTATTAAACATCCATGTTGTAGTCCGCTGTATAGAAAACTGTAGTTTCCATAGTTTACCCACAGCAGCAGGCGCACATTTATGACCTCCGCTGGCGCATCATAAACACGTCGGATAGTGAAAGTGCAGTCGGATTCTCTAAAGTACCGCAGTCTCTTCTCCTAAATCCTTTTGAATTCTCCTATCCACTATCCCTTAACCCCATGACGTTTCACTCCGAGGTCAAGGAATAGACGATAGGGTTAGAACTTAGGAGCTGTTTTTTTGGAGTATTCGACCGCAACCCTGGTCTCACCGGAAGTTGATTTGTCTGCGCCATCTTGAGTAGCGTCCCAATGGCCTTATTTTTGCCGGAGGAGCGAGGAGCGATAATGGAGGAACTATAATCGAGGAACCACCAGACCATCCTTCGATGAAATCCTCAGACACTCGCCCCGCCCCCTTACTGTGTATCGCTCACTGATTGGACGATGCAGCGCATGCACTGATCTGATGCTTGAGAGCAGAGTTTCCCAGCGGAGTGAAGAAAACACAAGAAACTCACGGGACTCACTCCTCAGTTCATACTGTGTTTTGTTTCAATTCATGCATCATTCAGTTACAAATATGTGATATATCTGAACAACAAAGTGGTCAAAAATTATTTTATTCATTTATTGGAAACATTTTCATGATCGCTTTTTCCGTTTTACATGTTAATTTATTGTCATTTCCATTTAGTCAGTCATTAAGTGCTATTTAACATGTTAATTTGCTACATATCCACACAAACAGACAAAGTGTGCAATGCAATGAATGTTAATCTAACTGGGTTTTGATAGATAACATATCTCTTTTTCTTCTCTCAATTATTTTATTTCTATTGTGCACTCTAATCAATATTAATCCAACTATTGTTCGTTTATACATTTTAAGAATGGCGTTTATCTTTTTTGAGAATGAGTTCTTATTTGATTTGATTTATTTGGGTCTACAACAGATGATACAAATGTTTGTGTCAGTAAATGTGTACTAACAGAGGCGGGGGTGTTTGTGAAAATAACGGGGACAGAGCTGGCTGCTGTCAGACGATCAGCTGTGCAGCGTCATCACAAACGGACGTCGCTTCACGTGACGCTCCGGAGGAAAGGACGTCCCATTGCTCTTAAAACTCATTTCCCTGCTTCTCGTGGTTTCCTTGCTCCATGCTTCCCTGGTGGGAGGGACTAGTCGTAGGGAAACGACGCAAGTGAGGGACGCAAGGAATCCATTTAACCGAAGTGAAACGCAGCCACAGCCTGCCCAGGTGGACGCGCGCGAACGCGACAACGAACGTAGCGTGCGCATTCTAAAAATAAGCTCACAGATGGTGAGCAGGTACCGCGGTTTTGAACTACAGTATCGAATTAGACAGAAAACAACAATGAAACGCCGGCAGAAGAATAGTCTAATGAGTTGGGTGAAAACAAAGACAGGAGATGTGAGTTGGTTTATTCAGTAAATTAGCTCAGGATAATTGGATGTTCTTGCACCTGTTGATGTGAGGCTAATGCAGGATTTGCTAGCTTGATGCTACCGGCATTTAGCGGCAGTGACTCAACAAATTGTATCGTCAGCAATGTATGACAAGCAGACTGCTTGTTTAATGTTAGACTCACACCAATAGCTCAATATGATCATAACACGATTGCTTTCATATCAGAGATCAGATGAGGTGGAGCTACCTCCAGCAATAGAGGATGAGGCAGAGAGAAGCAGCAGCAGCAGCACAGGGTTGCAGCTGGTATGTTATATGCTGTAGTCAGGTGATTTAAATGTATCAATGAAAGGAAGAAGTGTAGGCTACATGATAAGAAGGGAATACAGAAGTAATCAGTGGCGAGCCGTCAGGGCCCTCTAGGCCCTCTGTGAGGGCCTAAGATATTCCAAAAAATTATATTTAAAAACATTAAAAAAAAATATTTTTTTTTAAATATATATTTTTTTAATATTATTTTTGTTATATTTTTCATTAGTTTTACCGAAAAAAAACTTGATTTAATAAAATAACATTTCCAAAGAAATAAATCCTTCGAATCTGCCTGTTCAGTCTCTGTTTGAATGTCAGTTACTATAGCGGGCCTCTCTGCGATTCACAGAGGGCCCGCTATAGTAACTGAACGAGAGAGTAATGTCAAATGACAGTACAATTGACCAATCATATCTTCCCTCTAAATGGGTGGGTTTTATTATCGCGGACTTTATGACGAGTTCCGCCCGCTGTGAAACTGTTCTTGTTTCCATAGCAACAACAACTTCCTGTCAACAGCGTGAACTCGCCTTCAAAATAAAAGCATGCCAAATTACACTTAAGACATACAACTGCAATGAAAGTAACAAACACAATGCAATATCATTTTCAATGTCAAAGAACACAAATTGGGTTCACAGGTGTTGTTTTGTGTGGTAGAGGGTCGCTGTCATTGATGCGTTTTGCACCCTGGGTCGTTGTTTTGATATTCCGCTGAAGTATACGCTGTGACGTAATAACGTCTTTTTTTCGAGGGAAGGGGTGGGGGTCAGAGGGCCTAGGTATAAAGCTCACGGCTCGCCACTGGAAGTAATACAGTACAGTGTAACACTGTACTTTATTACTTTTTAATGTACAAATACTTTGTTACTGTACGATAACAATAACAATAATCCACAGCTCCTCTTTGCTCCAAAAAAAAAGAAAATACAAATTTTTTTGCAGCACCCTGCCAAGGCAGTAAACCTAGGGGAAACACTGAATGCCTAAATGAAATACTACTTTCTAGTGGTTTCTTTTTCTAATAAACCTTGCATTGGGTTGGTCACACAATTCATTCTCTTGTGCTTTGTTCTATCTGAATTATGATAAGGAGTTATCACAAGCTGTTTAGTTATGCTATCTTACAATAAATACTGTATATAGTAAATGTGAGGTAAAGTGTGTCGCCAATGTAACCGGTTAGAACTCGAAGTTGCGATGAGGTCTTAAAATGTATGGAAAGGGTCTTAAAAAAGGTCTTAAAAAGTATTAAATTTGACTTCAGGATTCCTGCATATACCCTGTTTAAGTACAAACCAAATATCAGCTGTGATATTTAACACTTTTTTTGTATCTTTTTTTTATCCCATTTGTTGATATAAATGAATAAAGGTTCACTACATAGGCTCTTATGCAGCCGGACTATCTATGTCTTTAGTCACATTCAGTGTCCACAATGCACCACCTGATTGGTTTACACGTCAGGAGTAATAGCCTACCAACACCACTGATAGATATTGCTGTAGTTGCAATAAACATCTCAATGGTATACACTAGAGTGACAAAACTCCCAGTCTTTTTGCTTGTACTGTTTTGTTTATCATCATTTATAGAAATGCAGTGAAGTGAGGATACTGGAATTGTATACATTGGATATATATAACACAGACCGGCAAAAGTGTTACTGTCACTGTGTTAGTAGAGACACTCTTCTGTGGTCACACGGCCCACTACACACTCTCTCTTTCTGTCACTCTACCCCCCCCTCCCTCCAGCCCCTTTGCAAATATTTATTGGTCTCCTTGATTACTGAAAACCAGGTGGTATATTGTATCCCCAGCGTTTTTGTTATTTATGGTGTACTTTCTCTCTGATGTCATGTAGGCTCAGGCTCCTCCCCTCCTGTTGGCCATCTTCCAGTCCTGCGACCCAGCCATGACCTAAACCATTTTCCTGCTGCCACTGACCAAGCCTTACCTCCAAGTAAGAACTAACACCTCATAGTCTTACTTTGGAGTCCCATCCCTACACCTTAGTTTGATGTCAGTGTGGCTGTGTGTTTCAATCAACTGCATGCTGCCATGTCAGTTTGATTTACAAACATATTCCATCTTTTCTGTGTTTACCGTCACCATCTTATCCTCCCTCCTTGCACTCCTCTTCTATTTAAGTTTAGATGTATTGCTTTAAACTAGGGCTGGGTGATATGAAGAACAATTCCTAGCTATTTTACCAAATAGCTTGATATTGATATTGTGACAATATTGAAGGGTTGATCAATGATGCTTTCACAAAATATGAACACAATTTGTAGTCAGTAATGTGGATTTATTGACCGAGTGGGGAAAAGCAAATAATAAAAAAGCAACAAGTCAGTTAAATTAAAAAAATCCTTATATACAACCAGGAAAAGACAATATCTAACAATATGATATAGAACATCTAATGGATATCTAGTCTCATAGCACGATATCGATAGAATATCACTATATTGCCCAGCCCTACTTTGTGCTGCTCTGTTCTGCTTGGTCCATACTTGTATCTGCATTCAACTTTTCAAAAGGCTGAATTGCATGCTTATTTTCGCTGATTCAGAGCAGGAAGGTCAGCTACCGGATGGCCCAAACTCCACTTTTTTGTTGCATCATCATCCAACTCAAGTTCACTAATCAGTGTCCTGTTTCCTTAATGCAATATCTTTTCAATACACATTTTGTGGGGAACAAATTAAGTTGGAGGGACTTATTTCGGTTTCTCTATCAGAATCAGAATCAGTTTTATTACCAAGTAGGTTTACACATACAAGGAATTTGCTTTGGTATGCGTACAAAGACGAAGAAGAATACGTAGCAAAACACAATTAAATAGGAGTGTTATGACAGCTATTTAAAAAACTATTTAAAAAGTATTATAACAAATGTGGAGAGCTGTGCTGCTCTTTAAAGAGGTAGTGTGGAGAAGAAATGTGCAACATGTGCAGGATTTACATTTTTAAAAAGAACAATATATTGTTTGCATGATGTGAATTAAAGGTCTCCAATCATGCAAAATGCACTTTTTGATGTCTTTAATACATAACTATGTGTCACCAGTCCCCAAGGGAACTCAAAAAGTGTCTAAAAACAAAACACTCTTGCCTTTTCTTCCGTACCCAAATCTCTAAAAACGGGTTCAACGGAGCTGATCCAGAATTGCTGCCGATATAACGTAATATCGGAAATCTGGGCTGGCTTTAAACCCATGGCCCTATCAGAAACGTCGCTATCAGAAACAATGTGCGACGTGTTTTGGAAGTAATATGGTCTATGTTTACATTAGCAAGCATCGCTAACACTCAGAGTTAACGCTGTACTGGAGAGAGTATGTGTAAAAAAGCAGGATATAAAAAGGTACTCACCTTGTGTTAAATCTGCAAGAGAAAAAGCATTTGAGCTCCATTCTATTTCAGAAATAATCCTTGATGTCGTTTTGAACATGATACGGCGTTTAATCACGGCAGCATTTAGCTGTGTATCTGGGTAGAATTCTCCTGCATGAGCAGCTACGGACCCAGAATCAGCACTTCTCTAACAGGGCTGAAATAGAGGGGTATGAGGCATGGCTAGAATGGGTGATCTGTTTGGTATTTTGAGCAAAACACTTCATAGACATGTTTTTTATATATTTGTATATATCTGAGACCTATAATCTATGCCTATAAATAGTATAATAGGAGACCTTTAATGTAATGCATAATGTTTTTCTGGGGTGGATCAAAGTCTGTGACAGTGGGGTTCCTGGGCCTTGTTAATGAGGCCGGTAGCAGAGGGGGAATAAACTGTTCAGGTGGTGAGAGGTCTTGGTCCTGATTGAGCGCAGCCTCTTGCCAGAGGGGAGCGGGGTAAACAAGTTGTGTCCAGGGTGGGTGGGGTTGGCCGCAATCTGCCATCTCTCCACGACCTGAACGCTTTCAGGACCATGAGGTGGGCAGGTTGGGAGAGGGGGCAGATTGCAGCCGATCACCCTCTCTGCAGAGCGGATGATACGCTGCAGCCTGCCCTTGCCCTTTGCTGTAGCTGCATTGTACCAGATGGTGATGGAGGAGATGAAGATGGACTGATAATGGCGGTGTAGAAGTTCACCGTCATCGTCTTTGGCAGGTTGAATTTCTTCAGCTGCCGCAGGAAGAACATCCTCTGCTAGGCTTTTTTGGTGAGGGAGCTACATCTGCTCCCACTTGAGGTCCTTGGTGATGGTGCCCAGGAAATCCACAACCATCTCCACTGTCTTTAGAGCGTTTAGCTCCAGGTTGTGGTCCCTGCACCAGGTCACAAGATGGTTGATCTCCGACCTGTAGGCAGACTCGTGCCCACCAGAGATGAGTCAGATGAGGGGGGTGTGGTCCGCAAACTTCATGAGCTTGAATGACTGGTGACTGGAGATGCAGCTGTTGGTGTACAGGGAGAAGAGGGGAAAGAACACAGCCTTGAGGGGAACCAGTGCTGATGGTGTGGGGGTCAGAGACATGTTTCCCACGCACGTGCAGCAGGGAGAGCTTGTCCTGCAGCAGAGCCGAGATCAACGTATTGAAGTCCACAAACAGGATCCTGGCGTAGGTTCCTGCTGTGTCCAGGTGCTGAAGGAGGAAGTGAAGAGCCATGTTGACAGCATCATCTACCGACCTGTTGGCTCTATATTCATAAAGCAGGCATTTATAATCCTCAAAATATAAACACAGCAATCAGTCTGTTTAATTTAACCTTTATGGTTTTAGGGGAAAATGAGGCGGGAACTACATTTTGCCAGCCGGGCACCTTGTCATAAACATTGAGGTTTTCCAGGTTTAGTACCATTGTTGCTGTTCTGAGACCAAAACAGTGCTGAGTGGATGTATAATGATATTGTGATACATTTTTAATTATGTTTGGGTACGCAACATTTTTTCCCAGTGCTTCCAGTCTTTATGCTCAGCTAGAATAGCACGCTTGGAAATAAAACAAATAATCAGTTAAACTCTAGTGATCGTGCTAAAATCACTAATCGCTAATTTGTTTGCTTTAAACTAGACATTCACATTTGTATAAAGGCTGCCCCCCGTATTTTTTTATTATTTTGCAGAATGATTGCGAGCATTCTCAATAATTAAAATAAAGGTTAAACAGTTCAGGGCATTGGATGTTGAGGTGAACTACGGTAACCAGCTAACTCAAGCATATTCGTATTTACCGCCAATTCAAATAGATTTCCCCAAAAAGTGGGCGGAGACGTAATTTTGCCTGGAAGTGATGTAAGGTGTTACTCTTACATGTATCTATTCTGAGGCCCGACTCTCTTCGTCACCGACGGCAAAACAGTCCGACATTATCACAAGACCTGTCTCTTGACCGCCGGCGGGGGCAAAAGACAACAATATTCACGAAACTGTGTCTCGGGCTTCTTAACATTTAACAACAATGTGTCATACCCACTTAACAGGATGAAACTTAGCTAACTGACGATATGAACCATTTTCACCTAAAATACGTCTTACCTTTGCTGTTTTCTGATCAAAAGTAGTGTTCAATGGCTTTATAAAGCATATAAACGCTGCTGAAGGTTAATCCAATGTCTCTGTGTCACTTTGAAATTATTACTGATAATCGATCATAACATTTATGGCAATAAGAGTAGTTTTCATATAGAGCGTAACATTTCATTCTTATTTTAATCGTTTATTTGGTAGGGACATTGCACATTAATGAACACTTAAAACAATAAATGTACTAAGTGTAAATATGCCGGATTTAGCTTTGAGCTACTTTCCATCCGCAGTCCCTCACATAAAACATTTAAGAAAATGACATTTACAAGCATAGCAAGAACAAATACATGAAATGCAAAAAGTGCAAAAGAGCAAGAGCAGCATACACAATTATTTATGACATGGCAATACAATATAACAGCAACGATACATAAAGTGCAAGAGAAGATACAAGAGATATATAAAGTGCAAGAGGAGATACCCCTGTATTAGTGCATTTAGCGGTGATTGCACGTCTGTTTGTTTCATAGCTTTCGGTTTGGGCAATCTGCGTGCGCATCACTCTCAATCCTCAATGGTACTTATTATATTATAATATAGTTATAGTTTGGATTCCTAAATATTTGTGTCTACTATCCCATCATTCAAGGGTGGTTTTCACTTTAAGTAATGGTTTTTTCTTGGACGGAAACTATAATTTACATTTTGTTACTATGTTCAATCTGAATTTACTTTAAAATAAAAACATCTATATTGATTCTGACTCTTCTACATCCAACTCACAGGTGTGTCTTTGCTTTGAGAAAAAAGATTATTAATTTACCCCTTTTAGAATTGAAGATATAGTCATTTGTTCTGGGAATGTCATTTTTTAGCCTGAGACCTGAAAAACAGGCTCAGGGCTTAACAGGTTATATATATATATATCTCCACTTCTAAAAGGGGTAAATTAATAATCTTTTCTGGTAGCATGATAGCAGCTATATATGAAAACTCTGTTTTTGACATAAATATGGAATGATGGATTATCAGTAATCATTCCAAAGTGACACAGACACATTGGATTAACCTATGTATCAGCGTTTTTTTCGTTTTAATGCCATTGAACAAAACTTTTGATCAGAACAAGAGCATAGGTAAGAATTTCTCCCGTGTTTCCTCCGTAATGCTACGTGTCTGGTTTTGTTTCCCATGACGCGATTTGATCGTACAGTGATGATACTTATACCTATAGAATCTGTGGAATCTCAGCTTGCTAATCAATATCTTGTTTATGCAGATCCGATAAGTAATAAGGGTATTTTAGCGTGAGTTCTGTGCTAAGTGTGTTAGCATTTTTTCGCTCAGGGCTAATTCAGAGGCGTTGTTATTACCCTTGTGTTTCATTTAGCTAAAAAGTGTTAATATTGTCAGTTAGCTGAGTTTCTTCCCGTTAAGTGGGTATGACACATTAATAGGTTTTTAAATGTTAAGAAGCCCTGAG